AATTTATCTATTCTACATTTTGAAATCCCAGTCTATCCCTTCCCACCCCCTGTCCCTTTGGCAACCAGAAGTTTGTATTCTATGTCTATGAGTCTGTTTCTGTTTCGTATTTATTTTTTTTAAGGCTTCATCACCAGAATATATAAACAGCTCATACAACTTAATAAGAAAAAAACAAACAACCCAATCCAAAAATGAGCAGAAGACCTAAACAAGCAATTCTCCAAGGAAGAAATACAAATGATCAATAGACACATGGAAAAATGTTCAGTATCACTTATTATCAGAGAAATGCAAATCAAAACTACAATGAGGTATCACCTCACACCAGTCAGAATGGCCATCATTCAAAGTCCACAAATGACAAATGCTGGAGAGGCTGTGGAGAAAAGGGAACCCTCCTGCACTGCTGGTGGGAATGCAGTTTGGTGCAGCCACTGTGGAAAACAGTATGGAGAGTCCTCAAAAGACTGGGAATAGACTTTCCATATGACCCAGGAATCCTGCTCTTGGACGTATATCCAGAAGGAACCCTACTTCAAAATGACACCTGCACCCCAATGTTCATAGCAGCACTATTTACAATAGTCAAGATATGGAAATAGCCTAAATGTCCATCAACAGATGACTGGATAAAGAAGCTGTGGTATATTTATATAATGGAATACAATTCAGCCTTAAAAACCAACAACATAATGCCATTTGCAGCAACATGGATGTCCCTGAAGATTGTAATTCTAAGTGAAGTAAGCCAGAAAGAGAAAGAAAAATACCATATGAGATCACTCATATGTGGAATCTAAAAAAAAAATTTATTTTAGAACAATTTTTGATTTACAGACAAGTTGCACAGAGAGTATAAGGAGTTCTCATCTACCCTGTTACCCAGTTTCCCTGCTGCTAACGTCCTGCACACCCATCATGGCTAAGGAGCTGGTGTTGGCTTTCCTACTAGCTAGTCTCCAGTTTATCTGGATTACACTGATTTTCCCTCAATGTACTTTCCTGTTCTGGGTACCATCCAAGGAACCACATTATATTTAGTCCACATACCTTCTTGGCTTCCTCCTCCTTTGACAGTTTGTCAGGTATTCCTTGTTTCTGGTGACTTGATAGTTTTGAGGAGGTATTTTGTAAAGTGGGGGGCTCTCAATTTGGGGTTGTCTCATATTTTTCTCATGGTCAAACTGTGGTAGTAGGATTTTGGGAGGAAGACCTCAGAGGTAAGTTGCCATTCGCCTCTTGTAATATCCAGGGTACATACTATCAACATGATTTATCACTGTGGATATTAATCTTGATCACCTGGCTGAGGGAGTGTTTGCCAGGTTTCCCCACTGCAGAGTCATTTTTCCCCCTCTTATGCTCTGCCCTTTGGAAGCAGGCCACTCAATGTAGGTCACACAAGGTGGCTGTTAAGCTTCACTTTTTTGAGGGGAGGAGTCCCTACATAAATTACTCAGAATTCTTCTGTGTGGGAGATTTGTCTCTTCTCCATTTATATATTTACTCAGTCATTTTTTAATGTTAGTATGAACCCATGAATATTTTATGCTGTGGCTTATAAGCCGGTACTATATTCTTAATTGTGTTCCTTCAACTATTCCAGCTTTAGCAACTGGGAGCTCTTTCAGTTGGCTTCTCTGTCCTGTTGTTTTGCTCCTGTCCTTTTGTTTTTAAGCACTTCTTTACTTTCTGGCTTTTCAAGATATTCCATTATCGTTTTGTATATTCTTTCCCAGTCCTAGTCACCCGTTTTTCTAAGGAGCCATGGTTCCTTTCATTGGAGACTGGTATGAATGACACCAAGATCTGGGAGTTGGTCCTGCTCATTGATGCTGGGTAGCATTCCTTCTAGGCCCTCTTGGTGGGTAGAGATAGGAACCATATGCATATGTACTCATGTCTAACCTAACTCCATACTGAGTTTTTTCCTCTGACTCTAGCCTTGTGCTCTGTCTCCTGTACTTGGTCATGCTGGTTCTGTACCTTTTGTAAGAGGATGTTGCCTTTGGCATGAAATATACAGGCTAGCCCGTTCTCAAGGCTCTGATCTTTAAGGGTATAACATTTTTCTATTCATATAGAGATAAAAAGCTGTAGAACAGAGAATAACATTTGTCTTGTTGGAGGTTTACAGCAACATGATGACCTGACCTACATGGACAGCTGCAAGAACAAAGGATTCCAATGCCAATAAGTTGGCAACAACCAACCACACTACCTCTCCTTTTATAGTATAAAAGTAGCCTGAATTCTGACTTGGGGGAGATGGTTTTCCAGGACATCAGTCTGCCATCTTCCTGGTCTGCTGGCTGTCTGAATAAAGTCGCCATTCCTTGCCCCAACACCCCATCTCCTGATTTATTGGCCTGTTGTGTGGCAAGCAGACAAGTTTGGACTCAGTAACACTTCTTTTTAGTTTCCGTTGTTATTGACTTTTTCTCTTTCATCTGTTCATGCCTTCACCTTGTCCTCCAGTTTGATACATCATTTGTTTTCTCCTGGCTTCCAAATTTGGCTCTATTTCTTAATTATACTTTGACTGAATTTTCTCCTTGATTCAGTGATTATAATGTAAGAAGTAATGTGTTCAGCTTGACCCAGCTCTTGAAATAGCTACTCCTCTGCTCTGTCCTTGCAGCCTCCATGTTCTGCTCAGGTCTTTTGGTGACACCCAGATGCTGTATAGGACATAGAGACAAGGTTTTCTTTTAGGACTCTGTTTTGAGAAGCTTATCATATAATTATATAACTCTGCTTGAAAAAAAATACACATTCTGTCTAAATAACCATTTAAAATATGCAACAAAGTGATAAAGTAAATATTTGGTGCCAGGAAGCTGGATCAAGTTGTAAAAATTTCTAGAGTTCTGCTCCTGCTAAGATAGGACATTCTTTGAAAATTATGGTACTATTGAGAAAGGGGATGACTTTTTTGAAGACATGTATAAAGTAGACCACCTCAGAATTAGAAGTGGATATAAGAAATCTTCTGATGACTCTTTTCATTTCCTTTTTTAAATTGAATATACTTGACTTATGCTATTGTGT